AGCTTATTGCTATCAATACATTGTTTTAATAGCATTACCAAATTGCAAATAAAATAATCAAGGTTTCATATCAATTTTAATAAATTTATCTAAATTATATTTTTATAATTGTTTCTACAAAAATCATATTTTGACATCTCCAATTAAAAAAAATGTAAAAATATATCTTTCATACAATATAACTTCCTATATTTGTGTCTACTTTTTTAGATTTCTCTAAGTTTTTCTATGTCAATGACCGCCTTAAAGTTTACGACAATTGTAGCGTTGTTGTTGCAATTTTTGCAGTATTGCAAATTACAATTTACCGCAAAAAACAATGTCACTCAACACAAAGAAACACTTCCACACACATGCATACATACATACATAAAATCAAATTGTGTAAAGTTTGCTCTCAATCAATTTGTCTGTTTGCCTATAATTTTCCGATTCTATCTGTTTTGTGTCAGCTCACTCAGTACCCTAATGCAGACTACTAAAGTTATGCGGTGCAACCGCATTCATTTGCTAAACTGTAGATATTTTTTTCAAAATGTTGTATATTTTAAATCTGAATAAAATTATAGTGCTTAATGATGTCTTGAGTGAATTTACACCTTTCTCCGTGCCGTAAATCTCCGTCTGTGGAAATCACTCTATCTTCCGAACGAAATGAAGTAGATTTATAAAATTTTACTCAAATGTATATTATGCCTGTTTATTATTATTATTATTGAAAATGGGTCATGTAGGTCCACATTTTGGTATAACCCCCATATAACGGTAACTCCCGATATTCGGTAGTTTCATGGTTTTATCGACATTATTCACCGGAATTTTTTCAAATTTGGTATTTGAAGTGTGTAATGGCCTAAGCCTAAGACAGAAAATTGTCTGTGCAAGTCCGCGTCTTCGTATAGCCCCCATATAACGGTACATCCAGATATTCGGTATTTTGATGATTTTAGCTACATTATTCACGGTTTTTTTTTAAGTTTCGCATTATGACAAAAGTTACCTATGCAGGTCCATGTCGACGTATAGACCCTAATATAACAGCCACTTTCGGTATTTTTATGATTTCAACAGAATGTTTAACGGATTTTATTGTTTTTGAGAATTGCTAAATTCGTTCCAAATGGTGAAGGGTATTCAAAGTTCGAACCGGGTGAGCTTACAGCTTTTTTACTTGTTTTAATAGAAACTTAAGGTTTGAGCAACCATTCGAATGTCAAATCAACATTCAAGAGGGCTGCAGTGGTGCTTTTAGAGAAAATACATGTACCAAATACTCAATATCTTAAATCTGGGTCAGATATATCAAATTAAGCCTAGTGGTTGCTTGGTGCAAATGTCGAAAGGGCGACATAAATTACTACCCAACAAAACCTTGAAATCCCAATATCCCATTAAAATATAATGTCAACATATTACTTTGTACATTACCAGTATGTTGAAAATAATAGGTTATTCCTTAAAAAATCTTACTATTCTCTTTACCATGTTTCGAAGTGAACTCGACAAGGTGATCACTTTTCAAACATTTTATCAATCTAATCAATAAAGGAAATGCTTGTTCTTATGAGGACTCATGGCTCATGGTCATGGTCAAAAATTGCTTCAAAATAAATGAAAATGAATTGTTTCTTATAAGATAAAATTATATTCTTAAGACGCTTTAAAAATTCAACTAATTCCCATACAAACTAATTGGGATTTATTTAATATTTGACAATGGCCCTTATTCCTCACTTTCTCATTATTGCAAAAACATCAACAACAACAGCAATTATACAAAAACCAATATTGTTAATAGCGGATGTATGCTGAATAATTTTCTGAAAGTTCTAGATATCAAGCTCTGGGGTTTTTGTTAGCATTTCGCATAAAATCAGATGATTTTATTTTCACTGTTGTTGTTTGTCCACTTTTTGCTTTGTTTTCTGATTCTCCATTTTCTGCATGGTGGCAAATATTTTAACCGGCTTTTATATTTTATAGTCGCATTTGTGAGTGTGACTAAAGACTGGTTTTGAGGAACTTTTAATTTTTTTTCTCTCGATTAGCAATTATATTGCTTTTTTGTCTGTCACTATGTCTGGTTGTTGGTTGGTGGTCATTGCTGCGGAACAAAATCGTATGATTTGTTAACTGGTTTTGTTTCAGCTCAGCTGATAGGAAGGAAACGCATGTCTGAAGTCCAAGGTACTAAAATGCAAAGAAAAAAAGATATTCGAATGGCAATGCGCATCATCGGCAGCATCCATCTCGATATCTCGATTTTTCTTTCAATAGAAATGTACATTTCACAGATATTCATTCGAGTGTGGGTAAATATTTCGTTGAAAGTATAAACCGTACAACAAATTCTCCACAATCTTCAAAGAAAAAGTTCCCAGCTCTCACAATTTGACGTTTCTCTCCACCTACTTTGGCGATCGCCAGAGTGTGTGTTGGAATATTTTGCAACGATGGCAATATCATCATATATGTATAAATATTCATTTTGACGTATCCATGCGAGTGCCAAGCCTTCGCCCAATGCCATAGCCACGTTTTGTTTATTATTTTATATCGCATGTTCATTATTGTTCTGCTTTAGCATTGTGTTCGCTTTCGCGTTCTCTTCATTCGCTTTAAAAACAATTTTTATTCAAAAGAAAAAAGAGAAGAAAAAAACTAAACTGCCGGCAAAGTGTGCAAAGTTTATCGCAAGTCTGCCAACAGCAGATATTACCAGCCAAGTATGCGAACTGGTTGTGTGCCAGTGTTTTATTTGTTGTTGCTACTTTTTTTGTATACAATTTAAAAATTATTTTACCATTTCGGCTTTCTACTGACATTTGGTGTTTATATTGGCTACGTAAACATTCGCATTCGTTTACGTACATGAACGACGCGACGTCAGCCGTTTGTTTTGAGCGTTACGTCATTTTTAGCAATCGCATCGAGCTCTGATTGGTTAAAAAATATCGTACGATAAAATATTTTCATTGAAAACCGAAAGAAACCCACGTCTCACATTCAATTGCTTGCTTGCTGGCTGACTGATTGTTTGCAGTTAGTTGCCCCGTTGTTGGTAGTGGGCTCTGTGGTACCAGAAGCATACTAACCAAAATAAATAAATAAATAATAATTGCGTCGTGCAATAATGAATCAACACTCTGCAAAAACTCACTCACCTTGTCGTGCTATACCCTCTTTCGTTTGTCCCACAACTTGTCGGACAGCAGCGGGCACGTCATACCCGATGGATCATATGTTAAACATTTTGAGCCCTCGTGCCCACCCCATGCTGTGTTGATTGCATGAATGTCATCGCCTTCTGTCTTCTTCTTTGCGCGCTAATGCAAAATAGGAACGCTTTTTTCCACTTTAACTTGTTGCTGTTCTCATTTGCTTGCTATTGACGTTGGCGAAACCTCTAATTTGGCCAAATAAAAATGCATAAAGTTTTGTATTATGTTTTCGCTTTTCCTTCTTATTGCCGATTTGACTGGTTCGGTTCAACGCCATATATACCACTTCGCTCGCAGTGCTGAGCATAAACACAGATACATAGTAATGGTGGACTAGCGAATGAGGCTTTCAAAATCATTTGGGACAAAATATGTCAAATTTGTGGTGTCTTATTTTTTTCGCTTTGCCATTTGTTTCTTCATCTTTAATTCCATACATACTTTTTATCCACATTTCTGTGTTTACCTTTATTTTCTTCCAATGACTTGTCACCGCCGAAGGTTACAAAAGCTGGGATTTTTTGTATTTTGATTGCTTAAATGTGCAAATTTGTCGTATTCTAAGTGCGTATGTCTCTCTGCTGCATTTCAATTAAAATTCAAATTTTAATGGCCAAGTACGTTTTGAATTAAAATCCATATAATTGTAAGTATTCGTTTATTCCTGTTGGAAACAATTAAAATTAATATAATTTCATTCAGAACTATGTAAAATGCGCTTCCTTATTATATTGAACTTCCTCTACTAGAAGTAATAGCACAGTTACTAAAAAACAACTTAGTAGGGTTAGTTTTACATTTTACTATTGTATTTACTCGAAATTCTCAAAGCAAGATATTGATATAATTCATTTCGAATTAAGTCAACATTACGAACATTTTTAACCCACCTTGGAGGGTTAAAATCTTCCACTTTTACAACGGCTATGCTAGAATTCTAAAATTTCCAATATGACTACTGTGCATAAAAATATTTTGTAACTAATTCCATCGCCTCAAGTCAAATCAAAACTAAATACAAGTCCTTCCCCTTGTTATGAAGTAGCACAGACATATGTACCTAAATACAAAAAAGGGGTTTCATTGATCAGCAATACAGTTTTTTTTAATATTTATAATGTTGAAATTTATTTGCATTATTTAATTAGATATTCCTAATTATTTGTGTTCAGGTCGAATTGTCATTGCTAGATCGCATTGCATTATATGTCTAATTAAAGGGTGATATAAAAAACTGCAACAAAGTCAAACGCCATAATTTTTACTTTTTTTTTTGTTCGAATTGGTCACCTTTGGCAAGAATTATGGCCTTCAAACGGCCAATGAAACCGTCACACGCTACCCGAATGTTGCTCTGCAGCATTTTGGCTCATTCCCGGCGAAGCGCTTGCTTGAGGTGATCGACTCTTTGGTATTTTTAGTGCCAACCTTGCTATCCAAAATACTCCAGATACAATAGTCCAATGGATTGGTATCTGGAGATTTTGGTGATCATTGTGCGATGGAAATGAAGCGAGGAACCTCATTTTGTAACCATTCATGTGTGGCGCGTGCTCAGTGCGATGGTGCTGAGTCCTGTTGGAATGTCCAAAGTCTGCACCCTACAGAATATTTTCGCGATAATATTCGGATACGCAAAAAATTTATTGCAATTTTATTAAATTGAAATCAATCAATCAAAAAATCGGAATGTCGGAAATTATCTTATGAAACATTTAGTTTTTTCTGTATTTGTTTTACTAGTACGATATAATATTTTTGCTTCTTTCTTTATTTTAGGTGTCTTGGAGGATATACAGAAAGATTTTCAAATGCCTGACGATGATGCGGGCCTTCTGCAAACGGTTTTTGTGCTGTCGTATATGGTGTGTGCACCAATATTTGGCTATTTAGGTGATCGATATTCGAGGCGTTGGATTATGGCCATAGGTGTTTTGCTGTGGTCGACAACAACGCTGCTCGGTTCATTTATGACAGGTTCCGGCTGGTTTATGACATTCCGTGCCTTGGTTGGTATTGGCGAAGCATCCTACAGTACCATAGCCCCAACTATAATATCGGATCTATTTGTACATGATCTACGTTCAAAAATGCTGGCCGTTTTTTATTTTGCCATACCAGTGGGTTCTGGTTTTGGGTGAGTTATGCAGTCAGTTATAAACAAATACACATAGATACTTGTTTCTATATTTACCTGCTTACTTTGATGTAGTGCCATGTTGATTTGGCAAAAATTCATCAAGTTCAAGTTCGGCAGAAAAATACTCATGTATAAATAAACTAAAACGTACGTCCCACCCAACACAGAGTACACAGTGAAATTATATCTCTTGACAACCAACCAATTTTAAATGTCAATTGAAATTTAAATAAAAGAATCTTTGTTTTCCACCCAGGCAGAGTTCAATAACAAACAGCGATCACAATATTTAAATGTAAGAATATTTTATATATCGCGTGTTTTCATTTGGAAAGCGTTCAATTTACAAAATTGGACTCTTGCCCGTCCGGCGGTATCACAATGCTAATAATGTTGTGATAAAAATATACAATTTGTCGATCTAACAATTGACCCTTACGTACAAATTAAGGCAATTCATGTATTGCATGCGTGTGTGTGTGCACGTATTGTCAAATTAAGAATATTTGTCTGGACAGGTCAATTACAATTAAATAGTAAATCAATTGAATTTACCTCATCAGTTATTATGGCGTTATTTATATTTTGTTTTTAAATCGGCATAGCTGGTTTTCAACCTTTTGACCCGTAAAAAATGTTTAATTGAAATTAGTTGATTACATTAAATAAATACTGTCTGGATTGATGGTATCTTTCGGCGGTTCATGTGTCTATTATAGATGATGCAAGAAATTTTGCAAAACAAGGCAGTTATAAATATATAAACAGGAAAATTTGGTGTTTTGCTATTATTATTTATATCTGAAATATTTTTGCAAAAAAAAAAAAAAAAAAAAAAAACAATTATGTATGGCATATTGTTTATCTTATTTGTAAGGCATACGGTTTGGATCAATAACGGAGAGGAGGAAGTTCCGATGATAAATAAAAAAATAATTGCAGTGTGATTAATTTAATGCTTAATATTTGTTATGACCTTCGTCTGAAATGGATTTTTTGTAATACTGGAGGGTAAATATGACTAACTTTTAATGAGTTATTTTCGTTCTTATATCAGGTTAATAAGTTTTAAGTTTAACAACATATATTTTAAAATTAAATGGGGTTGCTTGCATAAAATGTGATTTATTGAAATTTAAATTCCAAATCCAACTGTTTTATCAGGACTGAACTATAACATAAGCCGATATTATAGATAGATACATATTGTAAGCTCAACTGAAAAAAAAAAAAAACAGACCTCCATCAAAAAATTGACCCAGAATTTCTAGACAACAGCCTATTTAATTTTGATCTGTTTGCAGTTGCGAGATAAGCTGTTGATTTTATAGCGGGGCAAATGACGAGTTTTTTTATAATTAACTTTTTAGATGGAGCAAATTAGTCTTAGCTATTTTAGATCAGTTTTGGGTTGATTAAACAATTTTTACTGCAAGTGGACACAAACACCAATAAATAATTTTACACAAACACGGTAACATGAACTTGATGAATGCGTATCGATATATATATATTTTCGACAGAAGTGTGTAGTAATTATTGGAATAATAATTTCTTTTAATATTTTCATACAGTTACATTGTGGGATCTGAAACAGCTCATTTGGCTGGAAATTGGCGCTGGGCGCTACGTGTCACACCCATATTGGGTATTGCTGCTGTCGTTTTAATTATGCTCATTAAAGATCCCGAACGCGGTGAAAGTGAGGGTTCCCACAATCTGTCAACCACCACATATACCGAAGACGTCAAGTACTTGGTTAAGAATCGTTCATTTATGCTGTCCACTGCTGGCTTCACGTGTGTAGCTTTTGTAGCCGGTGCGTTGGCATGGTGGGGACCAAAATTCATTTATCTTGGCTTAAAAATGCAACCTGGCAATGAAAATCTAATTCAAAATGAGTAAGTATTGACAAATGAACAGAATGAAAAAAGATTTGCTTGTGAATGAAACTCAAAAAACACACACACTCATACAAACATTACACAATAACTATGTGATTAGCGTATCGTACAAGTTTGGAATGATAACAATGATTGCGGGACTAATTGGCGTACCCCTGGGTTCTATACTGGCAACACGCTTTAGACACCAAGTCGAGAATTGTGATCCATACATTTGTGCTGCTGGTTTATTGAGTTCTGCCCCCATGGTTTATTTGGCATTGTACTTGTCGCGATCAAGTGCTTCGTGGTGTTTCCTGTTTATATTTGGAGCTCAGTTGGCACTGAATCTCTGTTGGTCCATTGTGGCCGATATACTGTTGGTAAGATCCTACATCGCAATTTCTTTTTAGATTGATTTTTAGATAAACTACAACGACCCCAAACAAATAATAACAACGTCGTCTCGTCTCCCCCAGAACCATCTTCACAAGGACCTACTTGTACGAACGCTGAACAAAGTTTTTTTTATTGTAGATATTAAGAACTTTTGACAAATTTCAAAATTATATTACAATAATTTTTTATTCTCTTTACCTTTTGCCTCGTAATGTTGTTCGCACAAAACAGTGTGTCTTTCAAATTTGGTGCCATAACAATGATTGCGGGAATAATAGGCGTACCCTTAGGTTCATTTTTATCCACCAAATTGGTTAAAGGTTTTCCCACTGCTGATCCCTTGATCTGTGCCTTCGGACTGATATTGAGTGTACCCCTAATGACGGGGGCCATGATACTTGTCTCCGACAATACTGTTGCTACATATATTTTAATATTTTTCGGTCAACTGTCATTGAATATGAATTGGGCAATTGTTGCTGATATTTTGCTGGTAAGATATTTCTCTATTCGTACATTGTACCTTTTCTTTTGCGAACATTGTAAAAATTCATGTAAATGTTGTTTTAATACTTTTTTGTTTGTTTAATATTTACTGTTATAACATAGGATGTTGTAGTTGAAATCGAATGAAATTTAATTTAAAATTAAAATAACTATTGACGGTTTATATATATTATTATTAATTAATAACAACAAACCCAATCCAAAGGTATGCTTTGTGAGAATTGAATTAACGACTTAATGGAATTATTTAAAAATATTTCGAATAATAAGTCATTAAGTTGGCTAGAAGAAAATCATTGCATTGGGAATCATTATTCTCTACTATTTCTTCTAGAGTTCTTAGAAAGTTTTTGAATTGAGTTTGTTCTGGTGTTGGTGACTTTTGACTAATATTTTTTTTACCCCACTTGTAATTCTGCTCACATTTCCAAATAAGCTCTGCACTCTTATATTTTTCAACACACACACATTTATAGTACACAAACCACTTCCACACAAAAACAGAATAAATATATGCTTGCACACAAAAGTTTTTACAATTTACCGCACACACCCACCCTCTCAAAAACACAATTAACACCAGCGTTGTTATTGTGAATATAATTCGGAATAAATTTCTTTTTGCTACGTCACAGACGACAAACCCATTTATAATGAAATTAAATAAAATCATATTTGCATTTTGTTTTTGCGCCACTTTTCCTTGCCTCTTTGTATTCGTATAAAATATAGTCTCCTCATACTCTTTTGTAATATTTCCAATTTATTGCATTATTCTCTTCAGAACACACACCCCTTTTTCGTTTGACGATTTATAAGAAAACATTTTTCACAATTACTCCCCAAGGATAGTATGGCAAACAGGTTTTAACAGGTCTCAATACATGTACCAAAGGGGGAGTGTTGTTACATTGTTAGTAGTAGATGGGTGGAAACCTGGTATGAGGTGTTTAATGCGGTGGGGTTGACTCATCCCCAAAAGTGACACTTGTACAAAACATAATGATATTAACTAAATGATGAAACATTTTGCAGGCATTTATCATGAATAAATTACCAATTTCATTTTTACCCTCATGATGAGGGAGGTTTTTTTTGACATGTCATTCTGTATTAGTTGTTGGTATCGTGTTATATTGGAGTTGGTTGAGGGTATAACCACATTAAGAATATTAATAGGACTTTTACTTTTAATTTCAAAGTAATTCGATATTTTTTTCGTTTATAGATTTACATATGGGAAATATCCTTTAAACGCCATTTTCTTATTTTTTATTTCCGGTAGTTATAGCCAGTGATTCTATTTGTTTCTCTTTAATGCTTCTATTTATATTTGTATCCAAACACAAATAGGTGCTAATATTGTTATGACGCTGCACAACAGCGTCATTACATTTTATTTACTTTGTTGTCTTCCCCAGTGACGATTTTGTTTGGTATTTTCTTTTTATTTACAAAGAATATTAAAAAAGTGTGTTTCATTTAAAATTATTGAACATAGTCTGCCATTATCATATCTTAAAAGTGACCGCTTATATTTTGCGATAACAGTTATCAAATGACAGTGAATTTAATGAAGTGGTTTTTATATCATGTTGCAAACAAATTATGTTAGTTAATAAAAAATATTTGATTTATTTTCTATCGGTTCCATAACCTATTGAGAAAGCACAAATTTCATTCAAAACCATGCTCTAACCAAATATGGTGTCTCACGATTTAACAAAATTCATTGAACTATAAGCTTAGTTTTTTTTTTTTTTTTTTTTTGTTAGTTTAATGTGTTTTAAATTTTGGTGTGGTCTGATTGTAGAACTATACAATAGAAGCCCCAGCGAAGCCAAGCCCGCGTAAACTGGGCTTTTCCTTTAGTACTTGTGTTTTCAATTTCTTATCTCTTGTTTATTAAATATGATTGTGGAAAAAATTCTCCTACCATCTTAAATTACGTTTCAGGTTTATGTTGTGTTGAAAAGAGTCCACTTATGACATGTTTTTATATGACGATTCGAAAGTGAACTCTTAAAAAAAATTCCTAGAATTTTTTCTAAAATTTTAATATGTATTAAAAATGAACAATTAAAAAAGCAGCTAAGTTCGGTCGAACTTTTAATATCCGAATATCGGGAGGTACCGTTATATGGGGGATATACGAAAACGTGGACCGACATGACCCATTTACGAACTTAACCTGCCTACTGGCAAAATACACATGTGTGCAAAAAAAAATTAGCCTTCTATCCCAATTAGTTCGAAAGATAGCGTGATTACAACAGACAGACAAACGGACATCGCTAAATCGTCTTAGAATTTTACGCTGATCCAAAATATATATACTTTGTAGGGTCTATCATAAATGTTTCGAAAAGTTACAATCGGAATGACATAACTAATATACCCTCCATTGAATGGTGGGGGATATAAAAAATACTCATGGAATGGGTGTTCACTTTCGAATCATTATAAGAATCAGGCCCACGCTGTAACGAATGTTTTACAGAATTAATTTCGAAACTTTCTTGTTGTTTTTTAATTTAGCAGTGGCATTCTTCACGTACCTCTTTGATTTCACTACTCCATCAATAGTCTTCCTATATATACCAACCCTAAAATCACTAATATTTGTTTTTACATGAAGCACCAACACCCGATATAACGGTTTTTCGACATCTGCTTTCAATTTTATAACAGTAAAATTAAACAAACCTAGTCATAAACCACACTTACATGGATGGGACATAATGTTATTCGTACACCACTTAAGTAGCACATCAATTCATATTTGTTTAATACGTCGTGGAGAAAGAGAAACAGCAAGAGCAACTAAACAACAGCAATTGGCGATTCATACACAATGGCGTACGGCCTGAAAATATGCAAGACATTATTCAGACACAACGCCTATTTTCGATGTACAGTACATTTACACTTGAATGAAGATTGTTCTGGCGGAGACATCTGCTGCAAATCGTTCTCACTCAGCTGGACGCTTTGTTTGATGGCTGAGAACGGTCTCTGTTGTTTTTTGCTCGAGTGGCTCCATCTTTTGTATACAATTATAACTAATTTTTATTTATTGAAAAGTTGTTGGTCATTTGGTGCATGTATTCGATAATGTTCTAAAGCTTTTTATTTGACTTTGGTGGTAATTGCACAGTAGTTTATGTTGTATTGTTTTCAACACTTTCCTCATTAAAAAAGTGACATACCTTAAAACTAATTATTTTCAAATTTAAAAATATTTTTGCAGTATGTCGTTGTTCCAACGCGTAGGTCAACAGCTGAAGCATTCCAAATATTGATATCACATGCCCTAGGTGATGCCGGTAGTCCTTACTTAGTTGGTGTGGTAAGTAGCATATTCTCGATTTGTTTTTAATAATGATCGAAAAATAATAATTTTGATTTTCCTATGTTCTTGTGATTTCCAGCTATCAGAAGCCATTAAGAAACATTTACGCACAAATGTCCACAGAGCTTCAGAGTTTGTTAGCAGTGGTGGTCTTGAAAGTCTATCCCTAACAGTGGTAGAAGCTGTGAATTCGACGATAGCAAACGCAACAACCACATTAACGCCTAGTACCACAACGGTTCCAACAACAACAACTACTTCTGCAGCTACTTTCTCAGGCTATAATCACAACGAAGTAAGTAGTGAACATTCTTTGATGAATAATACATATATTGTATTTCCAAACTTATTGGTTTTTTTATTCTTCATAGGATACTGATCTAACCAAATTTGAGGCTCTACAATATGCATTATTCTCTACGTGCTTTGTTGAAGTGTTGGGCGGTATATTCTTTTTGATTACGGCTGCCTTCATTATCAGTGACAAACGTAAAGCTAGTCAGGCCATCCGTGGTAAGTTTTCGTACTTCCTACATTTTCCGTATTAAATATATCAAAATCATTATGAAATTTATCCAACAAAATCTTTCTTTCAAGTACTTTAAAAGTGCTTCCATTTCCATTGAACATGTATTTGTGGTAAATTTCGTTATGATTTTTTTTATTGTTATTATTTTTTTATTTATTTATTATTACTACTACTAGTATACATTTCTTCTTTAGTTTTTGAACTCACAGACATTACGGACGGCAATAACATTGAAGAAATAGATGATTCAAGCAGTTCAAAAAATATGGACATTTAATAATACAATTATAATTAAAAAAAAAAAAAAACTAGGCAAAATGTTAGGTGGGTTGAGTTATTTCGTGTTGATTTTTGTTTTCTTTTTAATTCCATAATTTAACTACTCTACCCACTTATTTCCCCCTTTTGTTCCAATGCATTATTAATACCAGCCGAAGCCACTAATTTTTGACTTGTTAAAATTAGTTAAACATAGATGTCGTGTTGCTTTTACGCAAATATGGCCTTAAAACTTTGTCACTCAGTATAACTATCAGAATATTTTTAGATAGATTTTTTAAAAGACACATTTTAAAATAAAACGTTAGGTACAGACAGGGCTGTCAGATATGGCGATTTCTCGCCAAACGTGGCGATTTTTCAATGCGTTTGGCGGCTTAATTTCTGATTTGGCGGTATGGCGATTTGTTGACGGTTTATAGAATAGTTGGCGATTTCGTTGTCGAATTGTAGGAAATTACACTGCCATTCACAAATACAAAATATTATCGGACAATATGAAAACTTTAAAAGTCAATGTACAATTTAGAATTTTAAAATTTGGCATTGGTTGTATATGAAAACATGTAGAGAAAATTACAATTTACAAAGTGGAATGAATATTTTAACGAAGAAATTCTAAAAAATGCCTTGACTTTCGGAGGAAAGTTAGTAATTACCGTGATACGCCAGATACATTCTACTTATTGAAACGAGGTTTTCTTTTATAAATTATACCAAAACAAGTTAGGGGAATAAGATCCAACTTGGCATTTTGGATGCGAGTAGTAAATCAATATATGAAACTGAAAACAAAATAAAGCCATGTTTATTAGAGGATTTATTGAAGGGTATACAATGGGTACAACAATTTTAATCCAAATCCACTGGGTTAACCCAATTATATGTAAACATACTGTGAAATTATAAATTTTTGTAGATGGTTGTTGCAAAATGTTTAGGCTTTATTATTGTTGTTTTTATAAAAACAACGTTTGTTTATTAGTGGAGAACGATGGTAATGTTTACCTTTACGAAACCTAGGTATTCCCTGCCTTACCCCCTGGTAAGCATTACCATCTTTCTCCACTAATAAACAAACGTTGTTTTTATAAAAACAACAATAAAGGGATAAAGCCTAAACAATTTGCAACAACAAAATACTACGGTATCCCGAACAAACAAGCCACACTGTTCTATTTTTGTAGATAGTAAAAATAGAACTTTTTGCAGAGGATTTATTTGAAGTATAGTAATGAATACGACAATTTTAATACAAATCCAGAGGGTTAACCCATTTATTTGTAAACGTGCCGTAACAGAAAAAAATTGGTCTCCAAATATTTAAATTATAAGTAAAATAATTCTTTAGATGAAAGTGAGCCTTACTAGTTTCTAATGAAAAAAATTGCCTCAATAAAATAATTACTTTTTGACACAATCCGAATCAGTTTCGTTTTGGTGAATTCTGATACTTGGTTTGGCGATGGCAGTAGAAACAAATCTGACAACCCTGAGTATAGACGATACATCAGTAGTATCAGAACTTCAAGAATTATGACTACATTTTTTGTTAGTTTGCGGAAGTTTGTGTGAAAATTAGCATGTTGGCCTTAAAATAAATTTAAATTTAAAGAACCCTTTCAATTCGAAAAAAGAGTTTATTTTCAAAGTTGCTAATATATTATTTCATAGTCATCTGCTGTAACTCGTGATTGATAGTGAGTTTGTGCCTTTATAATGAAGTTTGTTTAAGCATTTATTACTGGAGAGTAGTTGAAATTGTCATCAATAAATTAATTCTCACCAAATGCTTTTGTACGCTTGTAAATAATATAATGAGCTGTCACTGGAATAATTTTAACAGCTGTCGGACGAGTGGCTTAGAAATGACAGCACTCTTAAGTTGGTTGCAGTTTTTTCATCTCCCCTGTATATCGTTAAATTCTATCACGAATAAAGATCGCTTGAATATGGAAAATATAAATCAGTAAAAAAAATTAAACAAATTTTAATAAAATTAAAAGAATAATAGATTAAGTAGCAATATAGAAAGCATGAGAGACGGATAGATAACAAGAATCCAAGAAACGGTTATAGGGAAAAAGTTATTTGACTGCTGCTTAAAAAAAAATAAAAAATTGCAATACAAATTCCTGTGCGTTAAATATTTTTTAATAACCATTAATTTTTTTAACAAAATTTTATTTTTTAACCAATTTTTGTTGCATCTGTTCATTTATTTATTTCTTTCTTTTTTGTAGCTGTAATAACGTAAACATGTTAATCATGCCAATATATATGATGATGATTAACTATTTTGTCCATTTCTTTTGCAGATGGCCATCAAGCTGTGCCAAATCGTGCCCCTGTCGATATTGATGAAATTTCATAAATTTCATGTCGATCGCGCAATGCTGCAACAACCAAAATAAAACCATTTTTATGAGTTTATCATTTTCAATCATACTTTCACAAGTCATTGCAAAAGTATGTTTGAATTGATGCTGCTACAGACTGATGAACATAGAATACAAAACAATCATTACAACTATTCTCCATTATAAGTTAAGTTTTTTTAATTAGTCTGCCACGTTTAGAGGTTTATGTTTCTATCGACGACAAAGTGCAAAAGCCCTATCGCTCGTGCAAAATTATGAGATGATGAGGTGAATGCGAGTAACAACACGTTCGCATAGCAAAATGTACCACATCCTATTTCACTGAGGTACAGGATGTTCCTACAACCTGCGAGATAAGAACGACAATGTACGCCAAACCGGTGAAAATCGTGTTAAACGATATCTCTAAAGAACTAATTTATCTCAAGTTTTAGTTTCTAAGTATTTCTTTTTTATTATTTGAAATTGTTATTTACTGAAGTTTCTTGCTATTTTGTTTTATTTAGTAGTGCGGAAAGGAAATCAAAAACAATGTAGTATTAGTTGTTTTTATGATTATTACTATTAAATTATAAATATTAGGTGAACTTCCTTCATCTGTCGCATGTAACCATTTTTAATTTGAATTCTCAATCTATCAATTAAATCATACAATTCATCACATTATCCGATAATTACCTTGAATATGTAAATGACACACATACACACACACACACGAAAACGTGATAATTTAATACTAGTAAAGAAATGTATTTGTTATTTAAGAAATGAGTGCATATTTGTGCGCACATTAGGGAAAGTCGGTCACTTCCAATCACTTCATTTTGTAAATATTAGTTTGGTAACAAAAGAAAATCACCATTCATTAAATATGGACTACGTGTAGACTAGAATTTGTATAATCCAATAGTTAGTTGTTTCTTATTTTATTTTTGGAAACAGAAAAGGATTGCATATGAGATGCAACAAACTAAAGCAATTTTTATAAACAACGTGTACGCTCACTCATATCGCCTATGATGCCCATGAAGCCAGAACCCATTGTGTGTTTTACTTATAAAATTTTACAATTGGTCCAATGCATAAAAGTCATTAGTTACTAAGGTTGTTTCCACTAAATGTATTATTTAAAGAAAATTTTGTGTATGTTTCGGGTTTCGGCATTTCATGTTTTACAAGTGCATAAATTATATTTTCAATTCCGGAAAATTAGATAAATTAAGAAATCCAGAAAAGACTGTAATCTCCTGAAAATTGTTATAAGCAAAGAAGAATCAAATTATATGAATTGATGGAATACAAAGAAGTAAAACACAAATGCCCAGGTTTATTTTTATCCACTATGAAATAAAACTAATTCTACAATGAAGACACCAATTGACTTTTATTTTTTAATTGGCCCTATTACCGTTGTCGTCGTCGTTGCAAAATAAAGTCGAGTAGACAATAACGGTATTAAGGTTGTCGTTTTTTGTCAATAGCGATGAATGAATGCTATTAGCATTGACGATACAACAGTCGACGTGAAGTTGTTTTTAGAGAATATCTGTCGTGACGACATTGTATTTTTAGTCGACGTTGATATTGTACCTTTTTGGAATTTGATATTTGACCATGAATATAACAACAGTAAAACTATTTGGAAATATTGAAGTCATCATCGATACTGGTTTTATAAGATCCTAGCGCTAAAAATCTCAATGCTGTGACCAAGTGGAATAACTCTGGTTTAAAAAAAAAACTCTTCGATTTTTTCGAAATTTTTTTCCAGAGGTAGACATTTTTAACGGGAAATCAGTTTCCCGGAATCGCTTACCCGATCGATATAGGCAATATAGGTATCGTTTGAAAACTTATACCTATCCAACAAGCGTTCTCATGACCACCGAAGGCCGGCTACTTACAACAACTGTTAAATTTAGAAAACTTTAGTTCGCGTAGCCGGTTGAACATCGCCAGAAAAGAGAATATCTCTGACCCAGAAAAGGTATTAACACAAATTTTGTTATTTTGGTAAGGTAAAAGTGTTGATAAAAAATCCGGGTCTAAAAATCGATATTTGAAGTTCCCAATTGGTACTACAATCAATGGTACAATAAAAGACAAGACTAAATATATAGAACATGATTTTGAAAAGAAATGTTGACCTTTTATTTATTTTTCTCTGTTTTCAATTATTTCTTCAAAATCAATACAACAGGTTGTTTGGGTATTCGATTGTTTTGATAGTAATTCTGGCATTACAATACTTGCAATTTTCAAGGTTAACCTACCATGCTAATATCAATGACAGAAAATTGTCTATGCAGGTACAGATCTTCGCTTTGTCCATATATCTGAACCTCCCTATATTCGGCATTTTGATGATTTTGTATACATTATTTAGCGGAATTGTTTCAAATTTCGTACTTGAAGTTCGTAATAGTTACTATAGTCTGTAACAGAAAATTGCATATGCAAGTCCAACACATCGTATAGCCCCCATTAAACCGGTACCTCCCTATTTTCGGTATGTTTATGATTTTAGCGGCATTACTCAGCGAATTTTTTTCAAAGTTCGTATTTAAAGTCATAATGAGAAGTACAGACTGTGAAAAAATTAGCCCAAGCAGGTCCACGTCCGCATACTTTTAACTTCATTCAGTGGATTCAATTTTTATACCCTCCACCATACATAGTATGGACGGTATATTAAGTTCGTCATTCCGTTTGTAACTCATCGAAATAATGATTTTAGACCCAACAAAGTATATATATTCTTGATCAGCGTAAAATTCTAAGACGATTTTAATACAAATCCAGAGGGTTAACCCATTTATTTGTAAACGTGCCGTAACAGAAAAAAATTGGTCTCCAAATATTTAAATTATAAGTAAAATAATTCTTTAGATGAAAGTGAGCCTTACTAGTTTCTAATGAAAAAAATTGCCTCAATAAAATAATTACTTTTTGACACAATCCGAATCAATTTCGTTTTGGTGAATTCTGATACTTGGTTTGGCGATGGCAGTAGAAACAAATCTGACAACCCTGAGTATAGACGATACATCAGTAGTATCAGAACTTCAAGAATTATGACTAAATTTTTTGTTAGTTTGCGGAAGTTTGTGTGAAAATTAGCATGTTGGCCTTAAAATAAATTTAAATTTAAAGAACCCTTTCAATTCGAAAAAAGAGTTTATTTTCAAAGTTGCTAATATATTATTTCATAGTCATCTGCTGTAACTCGTGATTGATAGTGAGTTTGTGCCTTTATAATGAAGTTTGTTTAAGCATTTATTACTGGAGAGTAGTTGAAATTGAAATCAATAATTCAATTCTCACCAAATGCTTTTGTACGCTTGTAAATAATATAATGAGCTGTCACTGGAATAATTTTAACAGCTGTCGGACGAGTGGCTTAGAAATGACAGCACTCTTAAGTTGGTTGCTTTTTCATCTCCCCTGTATATCGTTAAATTCTATCACGAATAAAGATCGCTTGAATATGGAAAATATAAATCAGTAAAAAAAATTAAACAATTTTAATAAAATTAAAAGAATAATAGATTAAGTAGCAATATAGAAAGCATGAGAGACGGATAGATAACAAGAATCCAAGAAACGGGTATAGGGAAAAAGTTATTTGACTGCTGCTTAAAAAAAATAAAAAATTGCAATACAAATTCCTGTGCGTTAAATATTTTTTAATAACCATTAATTTTTTTTAACAAAATTTTATTTTTTAACCAATTTTTGTTGCATCTGTTCATTTATTTATTTATTTCTTTTTTGTAGCTGTAATAACGTAAACATGTTAATCATGCCAATATATATGATGATGATTAACTATTTTGTCCATTTCTTTTGCAGATGGCCATCAAGCTGTGCCAAATCGTGCCCCTGTCGATATTGATGAAATTTCATAAATTTCATGTCGATCGCGCAATGCTGCAACAACCAAAATAAAACCATTTTTATGAGTTTATCATTTTCAATCATACTTTCACAAGTCATTGCAAAAGTATGTTTGAATTGATGCTGCTACAGACTGATGAACATAGAATACAAAACAATCATAACAACTATTCTCCATTATAAGTTAAGTTTTTTTAATTAGTCTGCCACGTTTAGAGGTTTATGTTTCTATCGACGACAAAGTGCAAAAGCCCTATCGCTCGTGCAAAATTATGAGATGATGAGGTGAATGCGAATAACAACACGTTCGCATAGCAAAATGTACCACATCCTATTTCACTGAGGTACAGGATGTTCCTACAACCTGCGAGATAAGAACGACAATGTACGCCAAACCGGTGAAAATCGTGTTAAACGATATCTCTAAAGAACTAATTTATCTCAAGTTTTAGTTTCTAAGTATTTCTTTTTTATTATTTGAAATTGTTATTTACTGAAGTTTCTTGCTATTTTGTTTTATTTAGTAGTGCGGAAAGGAAATCAAAAACAATGTAGTATTAGTTGTTTTTATGATTATTACTATTGAATTATAAATATTAGGTTAACTTCCTTCATCTGTCGCATGTAACCATTTTTAATTTGAATTCTCAATCTATCAATTAAATCATACAATTCATCACATTATCCGATAATTACCTTGAATATGTAAATGACACACATACACACACACACGAAAACGTGATAATTTAATACTAGTAAAGAAATGTATTTGTTATTTAAGAAATGAGTGCATATTTGTGCGCACATTAGGGAAAGTCAGTCACTTCCAATCACTTCATTTTGTAAATATTAGTTTGGTAACAAAAGAAAATCACCATTCATTAAATATGGACTACGTGTAGACTAGAATTTGTATAATCCAATAGTTAGTTGTTTCTTATTTTATTTTTGGAAACAGAAAAGGATTGCATATGAGATGCAACAAACTAAAGCAATTTTTATAAACAACGTGTACGCTCACTCATATCGCCTATGATGCCCATGAAGCCAGAACCACCCATTGTGTGTTTTACTTACAAAATTTTACAATTGGTCCAATGCATAAAAGTCATTAGTTACTAAGGTTGTTTCCACTAAATGTATTATTTAAAGAAAATTTTGTGTGTTTCGGGTTTCGGCATTTTATGTTTTACAAGTGCATAAATTATATTTTCAATTCCGGAAAATTAGATAAATTAAGAAATCCAGAAAAGACTGTAATCTCCTGAAAATTGTTATAAGCAAAGAAGAATCAAATTATATGAATTGATGGAATACAAAGAAGTAAAACACAAATGCCCAGGTTTATTTTTATCCACTATGAAATAAAACTAATTCTACAATGAAGACACCAATTGACTTTTATTTTTTAATTGGCCCTATTACCGTTGTCGTCGTCGTTGCAAAATAAAGTCGAGTAGACAATAACGGTATTAAGGTTGTCGTTTTTTGTCAATAGCGATGAATGAATGCTATTAGCATTGACGATACAACAGTCGACGTGAAGTTGTTTTTAGAGAATATCTGTCGTGACGACATTGTATTTTTAGTCGACGTCGATATTGTACCTTTTTGGAATTTGATATTTGACCATGAATATAACAACAGTAAAACTATTTGGAAATATTGAAGTCATCATCGACACTGGTTTTATAAGATCCTAGCGCTAAAAATCTCAATGCTGTGACCAAGTGGAACAACTCTGGTTTAAAAAAAAACTCTTCGATTTTTTCGAAATTTTTTTCCAGAGGTAGACATTTTTAACGGGAAATCAGTTTCCCGGAATCACTTACCCGATCGATATAGGCAATATAGGTATCGTTTGAAAACTTATACCTATCCAACAAGCGTTCACATGACCACCGAAGGCCGGCTACTTACAACAACTGTTAAATTTAGAAAACTTTAGTTCGCGTAGCCGTTTGAACATCCCCAGAAGAGAATATCTCTGACCCAGAAAAGGTATTAACACAAATTTTGTTATTTTGGTAAGGTAAAAGTGTTGATAAAAAATCCGGGTCTAAAAATCGATATTTGAAGTTCCCAATTGGTACTACAATCAATGGTACAATAAAAGGCAAGACTAAATATATAGAACATGATTTTGAAAAGAAATGTTGACCTTTCATTTATTTTTCTCTGTTTTCAATTATTTCTTCAAAATCAATACAACAGGTTGTTTGGGTATTCGATTGTTTTGATAGTAATTCTGGCATTACAATACTTGCAATTTTCAAGGTTAACCTACCATGCTAATATCAATGACAGAAAATTGTCTATGCAGGTACAGATCTTCGCTTTGTCCATATATCTGAACCTCCCTATATTCGGCATTTTGATGATTTTGTATACATTATTTAGCGGAATTGTTTCAAATTTCGTACTTGAAGTTCGTAATAGTTACTATAGTCTGTAACAGAAAATTGCATATGC